ATCGAGAGATCTTCAAGATCCAACAAGAAAACTAAATCCTCGAAGTCTGGTTTGAGAGGAGGAGGAGGCGAAGCGAAATGGTGTGAAAAGTGCAAAAACAAACATCATGGGAAATGTGATGGGGAGGTCACTTGTTTTAAATGTGAAAAGCCTGGGCATTATGCCAATGAGTGTATGTTCAACAAGAAAGTTTGTTATGGTTGTAACGAGGAAGGGAACCTTTTGAAGGACTGCCCAAAGAAGAAGGAGGCAGCAAGGCCTAATGTCCCACTGAAGCCAAAAGCCAAAGCTTTCCAGATGACACTCGAAGTTGCGAAGGAAGCTGTGGACATCACTTCAGGTACCTTTCTTGTAAATGGATTGCATGCCAATGTATTTTTTGATTCTGGAGCAAATTACTCCTTTATATCACATAAATTTGGTGGAAGACTAGCATTTCCTATAGAATAACTTGATGATACCCTAGTTGTAGAAGTTACCAGTGGCAAATTCATACCTGTGAGGGATTGCAATAGGAATATCATCATCGACTTAAACAGAAACAAATTCCATGAGGAGTTGTTACCTATTGAGCTGAATGGTTTCGATATCATACTGGGAATGAATTGGCTTAGCGCCAATGATGTCGAGATATTGTGCAAGAAGAAGATAGTAAGAGTGAACCCGCCTATTAAAGAGTCATTTGTGGTCTACGGGGACAAACATAGATTGAATTTTGGAATCATTTACCTAATGAAAGCCATGAAATGTTTGACCAAAGGATGCACATCATACTTGGCATTTGTGATCGATGCTAAGAAAGAGAATAAGGATATGCAGCAAATACCATTGGTGTGTGATTATTCAGAAGTCTTTCCTGAAGATCTTCCCTGGTTACCACCTAATAGACAAGTGGAATTTCGAATAGACTTGTTACCAAGAACGACACCGATAGCGAAAGCACCATACCGATTAGCACCGACGGAGATGAAAGAGCTTATGGCGCAACTTCAAGAATTGTTGGACAACGGTTTCATTAGACCTAGTTCATCGCCCTGGGGAGCTCCGGTGTTATTTGTGAAGAAGAAAGATGGAAGCATGAGGATGTGCATAGATTACAGAGAGATGAACAAGGCAACGGTGAAGAACAAGTACCCATTGCCAAGTACTGATGACTTGTTCGATCATCTGCATGGTTCGAGCTATTTCTCGAAGATCAATCTTAGGTCAAAATATCATCAGCTGAAGCTGCGATAACAAGATATTGAGAAAACCACATTCAGAACAAGATATAGACACTATGAGTTCTTGGTTATGTCGTTTGGACTAACCAATGCTCCAGCAGCATTCATGGATTTGATGAACAGGGTATGTAAACCGTTCCTCGATAAATTTGTGATAGTGTTCATAGATGACATTCTGGTTTACTAAAAGAGCGAGCAGGAGCATGGAAAGCATCTACAAGAGGTGCTAAAAGTTTTGAAGAAGGAGAAGTTGTATGCAAAGTTCTCCAAATGTGATTTTTGGATTCGAAAAGTCCAATTCTTGGGTCATGTAGTTAACCAAGAAAGGATCATGGTTAACGCAGCAAAGATTGAAGTTGTAATGAAGTGGGAATGATCGAAAAGTCCCACAGAGATCCGAAGCTTTCTAGGATTAGTTGGATATTACTGAAAGTTTATCCAAGGATTTTCTTCAATAGTTGCTCCATTGACAGCTTTGACCCATAAAGGAGTCGCTTATACTTGGAGTGAGAAACACGAAGAGCATTCGAGAAGTTAAAGAAGAAGTTGTGTGAAGCACCGATTCTTTCTCTACCCGATGGAGTTGAAGACTCCGCAGTATATAGCGATGCATCTGGAATTGGGTTAGGTTGTGTTCTGACCCAAAGGGATAACTTGATAGCATATGCATTGGGACAATTGAAAGAACATGAAAAGAACTACCCCACTCATGATCTGGAGTTGGTGGTAGTAGTATTTGCACTAAAGATATGGAGGCATTATCTTTATGGCACGAAGTGCAAGCTTTTCACTGATCATAAGAGTCTTCAGTATCTCTTTGATCAAAAAGAGTTGAATATGAGGCAATGACGTTGGCTAGAGTTTCTCAAGGATTACGAAATGTCGTAACCAATTCTTTAAGCCGAAAAGAGAGACTTGAAAGGAGAATACCTAGAGCGTTAAGAATTGAATTTGTCTCAACGATTGTGGAAATCATCAAGAAATCTCAGGAAGAAGCTTCGGAGAAAAATGACCTAAAGGAGGAACGTTTGGTAAAAACGTTAGTGTTCGGTACAAACAGTCAAGGACTAAAGGTATTCCAAGATAGGATTTGGGTACCTAAAACGGGATGAATGAGAGATCTTATGATGGAAGAAACTCACAAGACCATGTACTCAATTCATATCGGCAACACAAAAATGTATACGGATTTGAAACCCTACTACTGGTGGCCGAAGATGAAGCTCGATGTTACGAAGTATGTGGCCGAGTGTGTGACATGTGCGAGAGTTAAGGCACAACATCAGAAACCGTATGGCAGTTTATAACCTTTACCTATACCCATGGGTAAATGGGAAGGCATCACCATGGATTTTGTCACTAAACTGCCCAGAACAAGGGACAGTCACGACATGATTTGGGTGGTCGTTGATCGATTCACTAAGAGTACACACTTCATAACAGCCAATGAAAGATGGTCTATGGATAACCTTGCTATTGCTTATGTGAAGGAAGTAGTAAGACTTCACAGTGTTTCTTTAACAATTGTATCAGATCGTGATAGACGTTCACGTCAAGGTTTTGGAGGAGTCTACAAGAGGAATTCGGTACGAAATTGTGTTTAAGTACAGCTTATCATCCGCAAACCGATGGTCAGAGTGAAAGAACGATTCAAACATCAGAGAATATGCTAAGAGCATGTACCCTAGAGCTCTAAGGTAACCGGGATGAACATTTACCTCTGGTAGAGTTTTCCTACAACAATAGTTACCATTCGAGCATCAAGATGGCACCTTATCAAGCCTTATATAGACAAAAGTGTCGTACGTCGTCTTGTTGTCTTGAAGTCGGAGAAAAGTAGTTTATGGGCCCCAAGACAGTCCATCAGACTGATGAAAAGCTGAAAGTGATTAGGGAAAGGATGTTAGCAGCTCAGGATCGTCAAAAGAGCTATGCTAACAAGAAGAGACGACCGGTGACATTCGAAGTTAGGGATTCAGTTTTGCTCAAAGTCTCACCATGGAAGGGACTTATAAGATTTCGAAAATGAGGAAAGTTAAGTCCACGGTTTATTGGACCATTCAAAGTTCTTCAAAGGATTGGTGCCAAGCTTACAAGCTCGAATTACCCGAAGAACTAGATGGTATTCATAATACATTCCATGTGTGTTATTTGAGGAAGTTCACAGGAGAAGTTCCCAACATAATTCCAATTTGATAGTTAAGGATGGATGAGAATAAGAAACTAATCGAAGAGCCCGAAGCGATTCTTGACCGTAAGACGAAGAAGTTGCGACGCAAGACGGTCAACTTAGTGCTTGTGCGATGAAAACATTTGAATGGGCCAAATCTCATCCGGGAAACGAATATTGACATGATGAGTCGCTATCCGTATCTGTTTGTTGATGCATGATTTCGGGATGGAATCAACCTAAGGGGGAGAGAATTGTAACGCCCGTGTTTCGAGGTTAAGCATTGATGCGATAATGTAATAGTCTAGGTCAACCATGGTAACCCATGTTAAAGTAGTAAAGATTAATTACTTGAATATTATGTGAATTATGTGTTTTTGTGTGCTTATTACTTGTTTATAATAATATAATAAATAAAGGATAAAGTTAAGCATCAAAAATAAAATGTTAGATAAACCCAATATCTATGAAGAAAGTTGTAGTGGTCGTGACAAGGATTCCGGAGATATAAAGAACGCCAAAATCCGAGTTATAACGAACAAGTTATGGCCTATCAAAGTTCCGCGATAGAACCGACACGACACTGCGTGACGTAAATTGAGTGCTATAAATTGAGTGCGAGGGCAGTCGGTTCTTCACACCTCTCAACCCTTATTTCTCTCACTACTTTCTCTCTCTAAGCACCCTAAACCCCCCCCCCCCTCCTAAAGCCTAGGAAAACCCCGTAGCCACCGAAGGAACCCCCGGAGAGCCTGAAGGCTCTAAGAAAAAGAGTTTTTTGATTTGAAACTCTGCCCGCGAGGAGCCCGGTTTTCAAGCACACTTCCCGATTTCATTAAAGAAGGTTATTTTTAGAAGCGAGGTGATGTCCAAATCACTTTGTATCAAGTGAGTGTATAGTCACTTTCATCTTACACATAGATATGAAGTATTTTATATAAGTTATGTGCTACGTGTGTGTGTGTGTGTATATATATACGTTATCTGTTTACCTAAGATGTTTGTTGGATGAAAGATCTATACTTCTTTCTTTCTGATCTGAAACTTTTTCCTTCAGATCTACACTTTCTCATCTCAGATCTAAAATTTTTCTTCAGATCTAAACTGTATACTTTGATATCTATGTTGGATAAAAGATCGAAACTTCTTTCCTTCAGATCTGAACTTTTTCTTCAGATCTAGACTGTATATGTATTTTATGCTTGGAAGTTATGTTGGAAAGAAGATGTAAGATTTTTTTTTACAGAACTGGAGCATGTATGTATTTTTTATCTACAAATATGTTGGTTAGAACATTGGTAGATGAAATAGTTGGTGTGTGGTGAAATAAAATGATGAAAGGCCACAATGTTGACGTTGATCCAGTCATCTAGCAAAGTATGGATGACGACCACATACTTTTCTAGGAAGTCTAGTGGAACGCTAGCAGGCTCGCAACCTGTAGGATTTTGTGAACGAAGTTTTCACCGGTGTACTCCATCCCCCTCCATGGTTGCCTTACGGACACTTATGACTGAGGAATCCCCTTAGCAGTAGTGATCCTCCCGATGAAATTCCATATGATAGGTCCCTTATGATAGATCTTTTAGGCACATAAGGTGAGGATAATGGGAATGGGTAATCAGGTTTAATGATTTTTGAAAATAATAAACTTATTTATTGTGTGTTGAAAACTCTATATGCTTACCAGCTCCGCAGCCTGAACCACTTAGTTTCTTGTATTACATGTAGTGGAAAAAGCATAGTTCGATGACTTGAAAAGAGATTATGGATTTAAGGCCAGATTATGTTTTGTGACCTAATATGTTTATTTCTTTTTGGTTTATGCTTATGGCCTGTATCGATGATTGACATCCCGGGTCTTTGTAATGTATTTAAAATACATTTCATTCAGAAATGTTTTGATAAATTTATATCATATTTTATTTTGGGAACAAATTCCGCAATACTTTTCCTAAGAAGTTACTCTTATTTTTATTAAAAAACATAAATAAAATCGGTCTTTTCTAGCCGTAAAAATGGGGATCCACAGTGAAGTTGTTCATGGGTTGTTTCTTCTCCGTGAATTATGATCTTGATTCAAAAGGGTGCTGTTTTTTGAACTATAATTCTTATTTTATTTTATTTTATTTTTTAAATTACTTTATGCAGCTAGAGTGGTCAAAGATTGTACTTCAGGTTGGTCAAAGGGGATTGGTTTTATACGATATTCTACCCTTGAAGGGGCTGCTGCTGGCATAGAAGGCATGGATGGAAAGGTAATTTCAAAATTATGAAATTTTGCTAACAGTGTCTGCCTTTGCCTTTGATTGAACTGAAATAAAGTTTTAGATAAATTTTAAGAAGATATCAATCTAATTTTGTGCTCCAATATTTTTCATTGTTTATAGTAACATACTTTATATTTATATATTTTTGTTATTTTGTTGATGACAGGAGATTTGGAAGCTAGCAAGTAGTATAATGCTCTGTTATAATGAGGTACATCATTATAAATCGATTAATTTGGTAATATTCTACTGTTTATGAATGTTTATGTGGATTACATTATTAAAGATTTTAGAAAATTGCTTATTCTATATGATATTTGTTGATAAAAATTAAAAGCATACATACACAAAGTGGCTACATTGTTCAACTAATTGGTCGCATATAATTACGAAAACATATGGTCATATGGTATGTTATGTAGGATCAAAATGTTTGCAGAAGTAAAATCAATGAAACATAAACATGGTGAACTTAGATAATTTTAAGATATTTATTGTTAATTACTATTGATTTGACGTTTTTAAGATATTAATTGTTTACGATTTAAGTTTATTGTTTTATACCTTATGTTTTTTTATCATTACAATTAATATTTTTAAACTCTTAAAATCGTTTGAGCTCGAAACTGTGGTTAAAAATCACACAAAATAACTGTGCCAAATCAATGCAGTTAATAACCGCAACACAAAAATTTCACCACAAAAATAACCACCTAACCGCACAGCAAAAATAACTGCACCAAGCGATTTCAAAAATGAATTAACCATATTTGCGGTTAGTGGTGAGGTTTTGGCTAATAATCGCACCGAACCGTAACGCCCTCACCCCTAGGAACAGCAGACCAATGATAATGTGATAAGAGATTTAAAAATAGGATAATGTAATATATATATATATATATATATATATATATATATATATATATATATATATGGAAGGAGAAGAAAAAGTCAATGAAATATATCCAATATTTATTTAGTTAGGATAGATAATGTAGAAAGTTTAGGATATGTTTTTTAAATTTCAAATCAGGATAATGTAAAAAATTTAAAATTCATAAATTTTCTTTTGTCATATCCGTTTTAAAATTTTTTATTTTCCAAATTTATAATTTAATAAATACATATTGTAAATCTAAATTAAAGCTTAAATTATAGTATTATACTTTAATTTTTCTTGTAAGAGCATTGTACTTTGGAAAAATTGAAACTAACATGTTGTAATTAAACTATTTATCTATGTAATAAAAATATATATGAATGATCACAAGAAAAAAGAAACTTACTTTTAGTTAAACTTAAGAAATAGCAACTTATTTAAATTTATTTAAATTTATGAAAGTAAATATCATATTTTCCATTATTTATCTTTTAAAATATCAGATTTGCATAAATCTATTTTCTTATTATTTTATAATCATTTTTTATATTTTAAAGTTATTTATAAAAAATAGATATCACCATAATACTCTTACCTTCAAACTTGCAAGGACTTTATGTTCTATATTTAAGACATGATTTTAAGTTCTTAACGTGTTTCTTTTTCTCCCTCAGCTGTTGCTGGTGATGGCGCCTCAATGTCGGTTGTTCCTTATGTTCAGGTTGCTCATGCTTCTCGTCGTGGTCGACGGCCAGGGCGGATGAGGCTTCCGCCTGTTCTTCCTGAGTATGTTGACCTGGGGGATAGTCGTTGTGTCTGCGAGTATTGTGGTGCCTTTTTTTGGTTTTCTGAAAGGAGCATGAAATTATCTACACGTCATCATCTGAGGTATCATGCCCTATCCCTTTACGTTTCCACCTTAATACATGTCGCTTTTCCGTAATGACAGCTTCCTGAGGTACATTAGGGCTTATAATAGTATGTTCTCTATGACTTCTTTTGGAGCTATTGTAGATGATGAAGTAAACGATGGTCGTGGTCCTTATGTTTTTAAGGTTTCTGGATAGATTAGTCATAGGATCGGTTCCCTCTGCCCTGATGTTGTAAAGGGGACTAGATTTCTCCAGTTATATCTATTTGATATAGCTAATAAAGTTCAGAACAGGTTGAAATCATTTAAAAATCCTCAGACAAATCTTCTGGATGAGGGCATTGTTAGGTTTCTGGTGTCCTTTCTCAGTGAGAATAATGAATATGTACGAACGTTTAAGACTGCAAAACAGTTTGCGGATGAGATGAATATCCCATCATATTCAGTTCGTCTATTTAATGACATTGCTGATCGTAGGTATGATTTACCTACACCTGGATCTTTAGGTTGTATTGTTACAAGTGATGCGGCTGTTGGTGATCGTTACGACATTGTCATTCATTCCAATACAGGTCGTCCTCAGCGTATTAGTAAGCTACACCCTACTTATATGCCTCTGCATTACCCGCTTTTGTTTCCATACGGTGAGCTCGGATGGTGTCCGACCATGAAGTTAGGAAACAGAACTAATGTTGGGGCTAAAAACCTCACGGTAAATATGTATTATGCATACCACCTTCACGGGCGTCAGCACATATGGTCTGCTATTCTTAATTCTTCCCGATTGTTTCAGCAGTGTTTAGTCGATGCGTTTACATGTATCGAGGATAGTCGTCTCCAGTTTTATGCAACACATCAGGACATCCTTCGCTCCGAATATGTTGGAGGCCTTTATGATGCATTGTCAAAAGGTGATAGGGAGTCCCGATCAGTTGGGAAACGGGTATTCCTACCAGCATCTTTTACTGGTGGTCCACGTTATATGTATAGCCACTATCAAGATGCTTTAGCGATCTGTAGGGTATACAGAAATCCACAGTAGTTCATTACATTTACATGCAATGTCAAATGGCCGGAGATTACACGGTATATGGACATGCATGATCAGAGAGACCCGCAAAGCAAAGTAGATATCATTGCTAGAGTGTTCAAGCTGAAAGTATAATCCTTCATAACCTTTCTAAAGCAACATAAACCTTTTGTAGAGATCGATACATGTACGTATAACTATTCTTTGTATTTATCAATTCTTACTTCACTTCTATAGTGTATTCAGTATTGTTTCACAATAGTTTATAACTATTTGTTAATTTTCGTTTCTATTCGTTTCCCTTTTCCTATATAACAGATTTCTATATCTGTGTAAATTTGTACATAATTGAAATTCAAAAAAGAGGGCTTCCTCATTGTCACACATTAATTTGGGTAAATGTTGAATACAAGATAAAAACTCCGGAGGAAGTTTATGCGTATATTACAGCAGAACTGTTGGATCCATTACTAGAGCCTCAACTATATGCAACTATAACAACGTGCATGATCCATGATCCATGTGGATTGCTCAATGAAAGAGCTCCATGTATGAAGGATGGAAAGTGCAGCAAACATTTCCCAAAGCCATTCTTGGCCACAACAGTCTTTGATACAGAGGGTTATGTTCACTACAAATGCGGAGCAGATGCCCAACACACAACATCATGTGGAATTATTATCCACAATGGATATGTTGTACCATATAACAAGAAACTTTGATCGAGATTCGAAGCTCATATAAATGTAGAATATTGTAGGTGGAACATGATGATCAAATATTTTTTTAAGTATATCTCAAAAGGAACAGATCGTGTCAGATATATCATTCAAAAGGATGTAGGTGTCAATGATGTTGGACCAAGCAACACTGTAAACGAACAACTGGATGTCATATGTCAAGAAAAGCAGCGCATCGATGAGATAAAAATGCATTTGGATGGTAGATATATTTGTCCACATGAAGCAGCATGGCGAATATTTGATTTCCCTATACATCACCGAAATCCAATGGTCCAAGTACTCTTAGTTCATGAAGAAAATAGTCAGTCAATTCTCTTCAAGGAAGACACAACAATAATACAAGTTCTCCGTAATCCAGCTGCTACTAGGACAACCCTATTAGCATGGTTTGAAAGCAACGCAAAAGACCCGACAGGTCATGAGCACACATATATTGAGTATCCAAAATACTAGAAATGGGATGGCACTTCCAAATCGTGGGATAGGAGAGCAGTTGTTTCATCTAACATGGTTGGTCATCTTGTATTTGTGCATCCATCATCTGGTGAATTGTTCTACTTGCGGTTGTTGCTGTGTCACCAAAAGGGTTGCACCTCTTTTGAAGACCTACGTACTGTATTTGGTTATGTTCACCCTACGTACAAATCTGCATGTAATGCGCTTGGAATCATAGGGGATGACATTGAGTGGCTTGTTGCGTTCAATGATACTTCTACATGGGCAACACCATTCCAGCTCCGTCTTCTTTTTTGTAGTTTGTTATTATTTTGTGAAGTTACAGATCCAAACCTTTTGTGGCAAAAGGCTTATGAAAAAATGTCAGACGACTACATTTATAGGTTAAAATCAACATTACCTGATAAGGCTTTCTCTGCAACAGATGATGTAGTTCGTCAGCAATTACTTCATGATCTAGAAGACATGCTCTGTTCTTCTATTCCATCAAGATCACTTGCTCATTTCAATTTGCCCATGCCATCACCTGTTATGCATACAATTCTCCAAAATTGACTACTCCGGGAAGAGATGACTTATGACAAAAGGGTTTTGGCTGATCATCATGCACAATTGCTTCCACAACTAAATACTCAGCAGATGGCAATCTATGGAAATGTTGTTTTCTGTATAGAAGCTAACAAACAGATTCTTATGTTAGTTTATGGTCATGGGGATACCGGAAATACATTCCTTTGGACAACTATTCTTTCGTTTTTTCGATCACTCGGAAAGGTTGTTCTTGCAGTCGCCGCTTCCGGAATAGCATCATTGCTTTTTCCTTCTGGAACCACGGCACATTCGAGATTTAAGATACCGATTGATCTCGCCAACAACAGATCATGCGATATAAAAAAAGGACATCACTAGCGGATTTTATGAAACATACATCACTCATCATATGGGATGAAGCCCCTATGAGTGATAGGAGATGCTTTGAGTATCTTGATACGTCTTTACGAGATGTACTTGACTATGACGAAAAGCCATTCGGTGGTATTTCAGTCCTTCTTGGTGGTGACTTTCGACAAATACTACCCGTTTTGACAAAAGGAACATGATCCCAAATCATAGATCTTACACTACCAAACTCATATCTATGGAAGTTTTTCGACCTTCAAATGTTGACTCAAAACATGAGGCTCAATTCCAATGAGAATAGCAATCCGCAGACAATGTCAACAGCTCTCTTTACCGAATGGCTACTTCAAATTGGTGAGGGCATAGTCGGACAGCCTGATCCAGATGATCCACGCGACATGTCTTTTATTCAGATCCCTCATTCATTGCTGATACCTCCAACGCATGACTCACTACAACAACTGATACATTTCGTATATGGCACAAAATTAGTTAATGCTCCGACAGTAATCGATCTATCAACACGGGCGATTGTATGTCCAACCAATGAAGCCGTTGATAATATCAACAGCATGATCCTCAAATCGTTTAACACAGATAGCAGGACATATAACAGTACGAATGCAATGGAACCGAACGGAAAGCACACATCAGATTTAGAGGGATCGTTCCCCACAGAATACCTAAATCAGTTGACCTTCCCAGGAATACCACCACACACATTGGAATTAAAGCTGAAGACACCCATAATGATAATGTGAAACATCAGACAACGAGATGGCTTATGTAATGGAACCAAACTAATTGTCACACAACTTCTGCCAGCAGTGATTGAGGCGACTATAATCACAGGGGAATCTATCGGACAACGAGTATATATACCTCGCATAAAGTTCATCCATAAGGAATTAGATTTGCCCATCTCCTTTACACGAAAGCAATTCCCTAATAAATTATGCTATGCAATGACAATCAACAAAAGTCAACGCCAGTCTCTGAAAAAAATTGGTGTTTACCTGTCTCAACCTGTTTTCTCACATGGGTAATTGTACATAGCACTTTCTAGAGCAACTTCCCCAGATTCATTGAAGATCCTTATAGAAAGAAATGATGCTATGCGATACAACGAAACAAAAAATGTTGTATATAGAGACTTATTACAAAAAATCACTGCAATTGAGGTGTCTCACATCATCACCGCATACTGTCATCCCATTCATATCCTCATTTTACTATAGTCATTCAGTAATAGACACCAACCAATATTCATGTGTATTACAGATATGTAGTAAATTACGGAACAGATTATCATCTTTTACATAGGCTCATTATATCCATTTAAAATGGAAAGTTACTAACACATTTGACCTACTGTCAGAAACGAACAGCGAAGAATTACCAGCATATATGAATTGAAGCGTGATGTAATAGGAAGTGCAATAGAATTGAGAATTGTTCAGAAATGGAGGCATGATGTCCGTCGATACGAAACCTGGTTTCTTGGGGTTGATAGATTTGTAAGCGAGTAAAAAACAACGGCAATCCAATATCTTTTTAAGTGTAACACATAATGATTAATCAAAATTTCAACCATATTATTCCTGTTCCACAGGGAGATGCAATACAGATCCTAGGACAGCGTACGAACCAGTCATACATAGAATCGGTAGTTAATGTATCAGAATGTTACACCATATCGGAATACAGTTGTCCTGAATTAGATAAATATCAAAAAGTATTGGAGAACGATTTTTACATAGACGTTGGCCTCAGCTCTGTTATAAAACCACTTGCAAATACAATAACCATCCCGACTACTTGGTTTTGTTTTGCTTCTAAATCGCAGCTAGCAAAACTTGGGGAACATCTACCATACTATCCATGTACTATCATAATATACTGAACCGCTTTCACTCATATAAAGTAACCATTTATCCGTCACCCTTTTTAGATTTCATTGGTATGCTGTCAAAGATCAGAGACTACACAAAACATGATGGCCAACCGTATGTTCTTATTCTAACCGATGATAGGTACATCTAATAACAGGTAATATATAACCCTAACAAAATCATCTCATCACTGCTGACAAAATGATCTATAAAACTTTTAGAGGCAATGAGGTCCCAATAAATCTATGGAAAGAGTGCTTTACAAATCCTATGAAATTAAATCGGATTCTAATCACGCCACCCCCTGCCATGATAGTAGTAGCAGTTACAAATCTAAAACCTTCAGTTTCTGCAGGTCAGTCACACTTTTTTTTAATATATCATAACCACAATATGATACATGTTACTTATTACAATTCAAATTGTTATTGTAGGAACATTACGTCACGGATCATCACATGCTACGCATATGTATGTAAATCCGCAAATCCCAGAAACCACAGAATTGATGAATCTGTAAACACTTAGAACCAACCAAAATATATAAATACATTTAACCCAAAAACAAGAATCACATCTACTTCAACAACATTGCAGGTACAATGGTCCACATCGACCATCAACAACACCATCAGGGATACCAGCCAAGTTGAAGGAAATCAGAGAAAAAACACGATTGGAACTCCTGGTAAACCTACACAACCCTCAGCCCAAACATAACTTCACGTCTGTTATAAACACTAGCAATGTTGGTTACATACAAGAAAAAACGGTTTTAGTGAAAGCATCCATTGTAGACATTGTGTTCCAGGATAAATGGTGTCAAATGATATGTCCAACCTCTAGAGATCCAATCTTCAGAAGGGGGACGCAATGGTACTGCAGTGCACACTCGAAGATCGAAAAACCCATACTAACGTACATACCAACCTGTAACCCTACAACATACTATTGTATTACAAAACATAATAACAAATAAAAACATCTTGTAGGCACAAGTTCCACGTCACGATAAACGATCCAACTGCCACGATATCAGCAATCATATCTGAAACATCATTTAACTCCTAAATTCAAACTCTGAGCATATAGTACACGACAATATAGCTGTTGACAGAAAGAGCTTACCAGTGGTGATCAGTCAGCACAAGGGGAAACAAAGAAAAATGTCCATTTAAATGCTAAAAACATCAACTGGCGATAATGTATAGTTCATCATAATCGACATAGAGATACCACAAACAAGTCAACAATCAGCAGTTCCAGCAACTCCATCACAACCTCCAATAACAAGGTCCGCAGTGGAACACGCCCCCCCCCCCCCCCCCCCATGTCAGACACAACCAGATGACATACTGCACGGAGCCTCACTTTTACTGCAAAAGGTACATACACATACATAAATACACATATCACTTTCATTAAATTTCCATTTATGATATCGTTGGTTAACACCTTACAGATGAGTCGGCGCCTTCAGGGGATGTCAAACGCACCCGAAAAAAATAAACATGCACCCATAAAATGACACCCCGTTGTTTTGTAACATGTTCCACTTTTGCTACGTTTAAAACTGTCAACAGCTAATATACTTGTGGTGTCTTAACCATATGTTAGTGTATGTTAACATATTTGATTTTGGAGTTATTTATTATTGTAATCAAATAGTAGGTTGCCATATATGTCTTTAATATAGATGGTTCACCACATATAGTATGCTTTTCTATTAAACAAAAATACATATACCTTTCGTTTATTTCCTACATACACCAATTACATCATTTAAGACAGTCATGAATGACCACGACAGTGTTCACAAACAAAAAATTGAATCGCAAAAACAAATATCCTATCTTCAATCAAAACAAAAATCATACCATCACCCAGTAGCCCCAATGTCCAAAAGTTCAACTACATACTTCACTTCCAAATAAACCGTTGATTAGTACAACTTTGTGTTATGGCACAGGTTTTCCAAATATATAATCAGATTTAACAAAAATCAGATAAAAATTTATTAGATACTTTTTCCTATTAAGATTGTGAATTATAGTTGGATACTAAGCATAATACCACATCTAAAGATCTATTGCAACAGCAAAACTGGAATTCCATGTTGTATATAAAACAAATATAAGGTCATCACCGGATATGTCCAACGTCTAACAGTTAAATTACATGCTTCACTTCCAAAGAAACCGTTGATTATCACAATTTTGTATTATAACACTACTTTTCCAAATATGAAATTACATAAAAAAAATATTAGATAGTTTCCCCTAATAAGATTGTGAATTATAGTTGTATACTAAGTGGCCTTTTAAAAGACAATATCACATCTAACGATTTATAATGGGTCGAATGTTTAAAAGTTAAATTACATGCTTCACTTTCAAAGAAACCGCCGATTACAACAACTTTGTATAAATATCAGATAAAAAATAATTAGATAGTTTTTTCCAATAATTAAATTGTGAATTATCTTATTTTCAAAATAATAACAAACATCATAAACGGACTGACCAGGAAAATTTATAACATCTTTTTCATAACAATGACATAAAAATATAAAGCTTCACAAAAAAATTAGAATATGTAAGGGATAAACATCACCATTTCTAGATCAAAACAACCACGTCATTCCTAAATAGGCTTACACCACCTACAATAAATGCACATAGCAATCGATTGCAGCCGCTTACGTACACAAAAAACGTTCTCCCTTTTGCATCCCATATAATACCCCATTTAATTACGACAACAGAAATCGTCAACAGTATTCGACAGCACCTATAAATCAATAAACTCCATTACACCTCCACACCACATCCAATCACACTACCAATCGGAAAACGAAAAGCCAAAAACCACTTCCCACAAAATGAAACCGGCTGAAATGGAAAACATCATTCATATGCTGATTGGCCAGGCGGAGGAGGAGTTGACCGCTCTAACAAACCTCCAAAGCGATTTCTACTTCAACCAGGAGATGAAGAACGACCTGTTGGAGAACATGAGCCGCCGGCCAAAGTACACCAACTACCTACAAATGAAGGACGTCATCAACAACATTACATACGTGGCATTAAAAAGAATCATGGTGATTTACAGTCTAAAGAAGAATACTGAAACGACCATCCAGGAGCTCAAGAAACTACTCAAAACACTTCCAGAAGACGATCAGCCATACATAGACTGATCAACAACAACAAAATCACGAACTCTTTTGTCATCTTCTTATCCATGATCTATGTAAATAAATAGTTTCCTCTTTTCATGCTATCCTTATGAACAGTCCGATGGCTTCAGACTTGTATTCACCTCTAAGAAATATAATCTATCGTTTATGTCTATTCTCTCATTCCATATATAAACCATAATGCCCGCACAAAGCAAACCACATGTGAAGCACGTTTATGAAGTTTTGTTCTCCTGGAAATTGTCTATTCTGTAGTCGGGCACGGAACCGTACGGTTTGGTTTTGGACATAAAGTCAAAATTTTGTCACATTACTAATTGTCTTCAACATAAAAATAGATAAGAAAGACCAATCATTCATGTATTCATCTTTTGTTGTCAACACTATAACAACATAACCAAGTCATTCCATTAAAAACAAAAAGACGTATAACAAAGGACATTCGCATCTGTTCCATCCCTTCAACAAAGAGAAAACAACAAACAAAAACATTTAGTCTGACCCCCACATCGCGGGGGCTCCCCATCTAGTTACAATTAAACATACTAATATAAATAATCTTTAAACAGATTATCCAAATCCTGATCACTATCTACTAATGGATGTGGCTGGCTCACACGTATATCATCTTCAATCGGATGTGGTTGGGTCACACCTACTTCATCTTCAACCGGTTGTGGTTGGGTCACACCTACAGATAACTGCAACTTTTCTCTGCAAGTAACAATTTCAAATGTAATAAATAGACACCTATAATGTTACAAAAAATTAAATGTAGTGTTTAATAAGTACTTTGAATAAAGTACTAAAAATAAACCAAAATATTAAATAACTTCATTAGAATTCATAAATAAAATTAAAAAACATATTTAGTTTTTTGAAAATATATATATATATATATATATATATATATATATATATATATATATATATATATATATATATATATTGCATGAAATAATAACTAACCCAACATAAGGTAAATCGTCACCGACTCTAAAAAACCGGTTTCGGGTCTGAATAGTCACTCCGGGTATTTGTTTCTTTTTGTAAGTTCCGAGTCTGATGTATCTGATGTGTCCACGGCAGGAAGGTGCCAACCCTTCATTCTCGGAACTTACAACATCAATCACCTCGTCCATTTCCAGTTTTCAAGTGCTCTTTCACGTTTTCTTTGTTTTTCGAGGAGACAACCTTGTAGTTTTTCATCAATTTCATGTTCTTTCTTATTGTTACATTTGTTAAGTGTCTTCATGATAGATGTCAAATAAGATAGAGATTAGTAAATAACAATCGAGAGCATAAAGCAAAATCGAAAAACAAAACAATAAATCAAAAACTGAACATACTATACGATACGATTGTTGCAATATCAGACGTGAATAAGATGTTTGAATTTTGGCGGGTCAATGTAGTATATATATATATATATATATATATATATATATATATGACTTTACAAAGAGATAATATATATCCACTATTTAAATTTTGTTATATAGGGTGATGTGGAAAATATTTAATTAAATATTTTAAATATGTTTTTTTTTATACTGTTTCAAAAAGATAATTAATTAAAACTCATACATATGTTATACTTTCCATCTCTCTCTCTCTCTCCTCTCTCTCTCTCTCTCTCTCTCTCTCTATATATATATATATATATATATATATATATATATATATATATATATATATATATATATATATATATTATAATAGAGATGAAAATACTTCAACCAAAATTCATTTAAAATCTAATATTTCAAATGTTTTTAATAATGATTGTAATAATTTCAATATGTGTTACTTAATTGATTTATTAATAAAAATATTAATATTTTATTATTTAATTTGTTAGTTAACTAAAATAATTTTCCTACATAAAGATACCATTTTTATGTTTGGTAACCATATTTGTTTATCATTTTTTTTATCTTTGTTGTCTAGAGTACATGTGATTACAAAAGAATGTGTACATAGAATGACTATTTCAATTTTACATAGGAATCGATACCATTAGATATGTATGTTGTTTTTAACCGGTGACAGGAGATCCACATACCATTTTTAATTATTTATATTAATGTTTAGTAATATCTATTTTATATTCATATTCACCTTAGTTTTTTAGGTACAAATTAAGCAAGATGATTATCGGCGCACCAACATAAAGTCAAACGTACGCCATGAAAAATATGTAATAAATTAAATATCATATTTACTAATCGACTTATTTTAAAACTTTTGATGATATTTATGTATAATGATATATTTTGTATGAATTCATTCTTAATTTCAATGTTTAATATTTGAAACTTCATACATGAAACCTTAGATATTTTGGTGCAATATTGTAACAACCCGTTATTTCAAGTCAGTAAAAATCGAGTCCTGTAACCTCTTTGAGAAAAGAATTAGAATATCATCGAAAAATGAAGTATTCAAAAACTCTATTTGGAGTACACTATGTGGTAGTTATCGTCTTAAGGTTTCCAAACATATAAATAATACAAAAATCCGAGTTATAACGAAGAAGTTATGATCATTCTAAGTTTTCCAACAAAAACCGGCAATACGAAGTTGCGTAAAAACGCAAAGTTTCAATAAAACACTTACCGACCTTAGGTGTCTAAATGAAAGTCGTAGATATCATTAAACTACAGACATGCATAAAAAGAACGCTCAAATCGGACAACGTATGAATAAGTTATGAATTTTTAAAGAAATTCCTTAATCACGTCATTTTAATAAATAAATAATAAAAATAATTCCGGAATTTGCCAACGGAATCTAAATGAAAGTTGTAGATCGTAGTCTCACCTTCGCGGGGATATAAAGAACGTCAAAAACGGAGTTCGTATGAAGGAGA